CACCGCCCGGGACACGTCTGCGGGGCGGGGGCGGGGCGCACAGACACCGAGTCAGAGACACCAAGATGCAGCGAAGCACCCCCAGATGCGACGGGAGACCCGGGAAGGACAGCCGAGCCCCGTCCGCGCCCGCAGAGGAGCCGGCGGCAAGGAAGAGACTGCAGCCGGCCGGGCGCCCCGCGGCCCCGGAACCCCCTGCACTCGCAGGCGGGGCGCGCAGGGGCGCCCCCTCCCCGGCCCGCTCGCCCACGGACCCTCCCACGCCCACGGCCCGCCCGGCGCGCCCCGCCCCGCCCACCCCCGCCCGCCCGCCCGGCGGAGCCGTGCCCGGGGAGGGCCGGGGGCCGGGGCCCGGCACGCAGGCCGCAGACGCGTGGGCAGGGCCCCCTCGTGCCCTTACCCCGCTCGAGCCCCAGCGGCTCCACCAGCGCAGCCATGTCCGCGCCGCGCCGCGAGCCGCCCGCCTGCCCCGGCGCCGGCGAGGAGGGCGGGGCCGCGGGAGGCCACGCCCCCGGGCGGCGGGGCGTGCGCGGTGCTCCCCGCGCGGCGCCGCCCACCCGCCCCCGGCGCCCGCGGGCCCGGCCCTCTGCCCCCAACCGGCTGTCCTTTCCGCGACCGCTCGCTGCAGCCTCGGTGAGCACCTCCTTCCGTCTCAGTCTGCCCTGGTCCGCAGCGGTCTGTCCTCTCTCCCGCTTTTCCCCATTCATTGGCCAAACGTACGTTAGACATCTGGGCCCAAGGCGATGGCAGGAGGGTGAGCCTGGAGGTCAAGCCCACTGCCCTCCCCGAGCTCAGTCTGGCGGGGAGGGAGGGCAGACAATCCACTAGGACGACTGTGATAGGAACCGGGGGTGCAGAGGTGACAGCCTAGGAGGGACACTGGCCTAGAGCCCTTGGCTCGTCCAGAGGTGGGGGTGTGGGTCACTTTCCAGGCAGACGGAGCCCCCAAGGCTGGGCAGCAGCTTGAGGGCCGGAATGGTTTAGGTGGTGAAACCTTGGCAGGATACACCTTACGCAGGGTCTTCTGAGTTGACGTAAACATGTTTAGGAGTTTGGACTTCATGCTAGCTCCTAAGAGTAGTATGTGATAATTGAGTTTGTGTTTTTAAATCACTGTGGCATGGATGTGAGCAAGAGCAGGAGCTGGTGGACTGGTTAGGAGACTGTCCCCATAGGCCTGGTGGTGACTGGAACTTGGGCAGAAGCAGGCATGTCTGCACAAGTGATTAAGTGTATGCGAGGGAGGCCTGAAGTGGAGAGGGGGTGTGGAGGTGCTTGTGGTATTATTGCTAAGAGGCTCCGTGCTAGAGGAGAGACTGTTGGGTGTTCTGAATTTGAAGAGTCTCTGCAGTATGCAAAAGGAGATACTAGACGAGCCTCACCCCCAGGCAGTTTTAATTTGGGTGAAGGTGTTAATAAAACTGTAGAGGTGGACAAAAATGCTGGGGCAAGAGAATATAGAAGGAAGAGGACCTAAGATCCAACCCTCCAAATATTTAAAAGTCAGAAAGAAGACAAAAGACCAGAATATTAGGACAATGAGCTGGGAAAGAGCATGAGTTTTTTGTTTTTTTTTTAATGGAAGATGACAATGGTATCAAATGTTCTATTGGCCAGAGAAATAGAACAAGACTTTGGGGAAGCCTGGCCACCGCCCCACCATTTTTGGGTTCAGCTGGATGGGGCTATGGACAATGGGGTTCTTTCACTAGAGAAAGTTTGTCTGCCCCTATCTTTCATAGTATTTCTTGTTCTCTTATTTTTTTTTAAAGATTTATTTATTTATGCATACAAGAACTGGGGTGCAGACCAGAGGTGTGGGGGGTGAGAGGATTCACCAGACACAGAGCTGGGAACAGAACAGGTGGACTGACTGAAATACACTGCTGAGGGGAGCAGCGGGCGAGTCAGGAGAGGTCTGCTGTGCCATGTGGGTTGCTCCCTGGCTGGAGGCTGCAAATTGCTTCATAGTGCGGTGCTTAATCCCTTGCGCCACCAGGGAGACCCCTCTTGTTCTCCCCTTTAAAGATATTTAAAGGAGAAAAATGAACACAGAGGGGATAACAGAACACCAGTCTCTGTGGCTGTCTCAACTCTCCCCCTGCAAGGGGCTCTTAGCTGCTTCCGCATGTAACAGGCTCTTTCTCCATTTCCCAGTGTTAGATGTTAGCAATACCTCACATACTATGTTACATTGATCTACTCTCACCATTCCCTCTCCCTGCTTAGGTCAACCAATAAAATGCTCCATTATGTCTCAGCACATAGTGTTTATTCGAGAACAGAGTGTTCTGGGATTAGGTTCCCTTCTCAAACAGCTTAGATTCTTGCCCCTTTGTTTTTTTTCCATCGCATTCTCAACAGCTTTCCAACTCTTCATCACAACAGACAATGTGAACCTTTTTATCCCCAAACTTCTTGGAAACGTCACTCCTCTGATGCCCATCTGGACTACCTGCTCTCTAGAAATTGCCATCCTGGGTCTTCCTTCCACTGTTCTGCTGAACCCTAACCATCTTCACCTTTTTTTAAAGCCCTCACTTTGATGAAGCTTGTCCTCGTTAACTTCCTCAGTTCTTTTTTTTTTTTTTTTTTAAAGATTTATTTATTTATTTATACAAGCACTGGGTACAGACAGAAGCGCGGGAAGGTGAGAGAATTCACCAGAGCCAGAGCGGGGAGCAGAGCAGGCAGAAGGACCGAAGGACACTGCTGAGGGGAGCAGCGGGCGGCAGGAGAGGTCTGCGCATGTGGGACCCTCCTCCGGTAGCCGGGGAGCAGCCAAGGATTGAACCGGCGCTGCAGAGGCTGCGGGCAGCTTTGCAACCCAGCGCTCAACCGCTGCGCCACTGGGGAGGCCCGACTTCCTCAGTTCTTTCAACAAAGTCTATCTATTCTTTTTTCCCCTAGCACATCTAACGGGGTTTGCCTCAAGTGTCTAATCAATTACTAAATATGTAATTTGTTTTCTAGTTTAAAATTTCTACATGAACTTTGTTATGATTAAAACAGTGAAAATTCTTCTCCTCACCTTGTGAACATAACAGTAATTCAAGTCCTTCTTCTAGCATATCTGATAGCAGCTGAGCAGATCCCAAGCATCATCTTTCTCCAAGCAGGGCTGTTTCCTTTCTGCAGACAGATCAGCTTGGGCCTACGAGGCCTGACCTGTCTCTCGGGGGCCCTACTCCAATGCTGCGGCCCTCTAGGCATCTCTGGCAGGGCCCTTCCACTTTGGTAGACCTTGACTCTGTGTCCCCTAGAACTGCATGGTGCGCAGATCTCAACCTGGCTCTTCAGCCTTCCAGTTGTTGCTGATGATCCTCTTGGGAGTCCAGCCTGAGTTGGCAAATGCCTTGAAAGAAGACTGCATGTGGATTTGGGGGCTCAAAGCCCCTTTGGAAATTTTACTCCATTCCTGGCTCTCTGGTCCAAAGTCTAAATGCAGCCAGGGGAGCAGCTCCCTGAGTACCCACCCATGCTAGTAAACTGGCTAATGCCCAGAAAGGGGGGGGGGGGGGGGAGGGGAAGCACAGTTAAGAGGAAAGCTGTGTACTTTTTCTTAGGGATCAGACCCCAAAGTCTGGCCTACACTGCTTGCTCCCTACTGGCTTTAAGTTGCTTTCCTGTCTTTGTCCAGCTCTGTGCTAGGTTAGTCCAAAATAGGCGATTCTTCAGTCAGTGTCCAGTAGTCTCATTGTGCTCAGGGACATTTGTGGGACTAGAGGTATAATTTCTCCTTCATTCCCTAAACTGTTTCTTTCAGACCTGGTTTTTCTGTACTGTGATCTCTTCAAGATTTCTCAAATGCCTATGACCCAGGGTTCTCAGTGCTAGTGAAACTGAGGCAGGTCAGAGGCATCCTGGCTAGAATGCTCCTGCACGTCAGCCCAATGAACTGCCTACCTGCCTCTGGGTTATCAGGCCAAGTCTGCCTTCAGACAGAAACTTGAAATTGGGTTTTGCATTTGCTTGGGCAGCAAATGCCTAGCAACTAGGCATCCTGAGAGCTGAAGGTGACCGCTCTGTGAGTTCTGCCTCCAGTCCTGCCCGGTGTTCACCTGGAGTCTTGGGCGTCTGAGGTTTTACACTGTTTCCTTCTCAAGAGCTGAGTCACCCAACTGAAGCCTGTACCATCTTTTTTAACCCAGTCCAGAATTTGCTGAAACATCAACTGCAGGTGGACCTTTCTTCCGACTCTTGTGTGCATGCTATTCCCCTAAGCATGAAATGGTGAACCTACCTACTTTCAGGAACTGTCAGTCTTTCTCCAGCCTGGCCTGCCTGGAATTCCTGCTCTACCCCATCTTCTCGCGTGCTTACTTCACTCCCTTGTTCTTTCTCTTGGTCTTGAACTCACACAACAGCTTCCCCTTCACACATTCAGTTGTCACTTCCTTGAGTAATCTAGTGCCCTCCCTAGATGCCCCCCCCCCCCCGCCCCTCACAGGGCATGAACTGAGGACTGTGAGGGGAATATTAAAAAAGGGGCTCGGGCCTCCCCTGGTGGCACAGTGGTTGAGCGCTGGGTTGTGAGGTTGCCTGCAGCCTCTGAAGCGCCAGTTTTATCCCCAGCCACCGGTGAGGGTCCCACAAAAAAAAAAACAAAAACAAACAAACAAAAAAACAAAACAAAAAGGGGCTCCATGGTGGCCTAGGGGTTAAGTCTCAGTGCTATCTTGCGAGGGCCTGAGTTTGATCCCCGGCCAGGAAGCTGACCCACATGGCGCAGCAGACCTCTCCTGTCTTCCCGCTGCTCCCCTCAGCAGTGTATTTCGTTGGGTCTGCCTGTTCTGCTCCCCACTGTCTCTGGTAAATCCTCTCACCACCCACACACACACCTCTGGCCTGCACCCCAGTTCGTCTATACAAAGTAAAATCTTTAAAAATAAAAACGACGAAAACCGCAAGGGACCCAGGACTCTTACCGGGACTTCCTTACTCAGCTTAAACTGCCCTGGCATAGTGGGAACCGCCTCAGTCCTAGATCATAAAGCTCAAGTTCAAGGCAGGCCCTGGAAAACAAGCCAGAGTAGGGCTGGTGACAGACAATCTTGGGAGAGAAGACACGGGGCAGTGAAGAAACCAAGGGGCCCTTTATCAACAGGAAATTAATTTTATTTTTAAATCCAAGGGACCAGAACAAGTAAGGAGACTCCTACCCTTGGCTGGCGAACTCAGAAGGCCAAGACTGAGGGAAGAGGATGACAGCAATGGGGCGGGGAGGGACACGTCCAAACAAACAGGTGACAGGTGAGACGCCGTCTTCACTCTGGCGCGGCCTCCATCAAGTACCCGTTCTCTGGAGCCAGATACCCGTCGCCTCCCTCGGACTCCATGTACATGTCTCGGCTGTCGTTGCCCAGACCCTCCAGCCCGTTGTCCTGGCCGCCGCCGCCGCCGCCCCCACCTCGGGCCTCATCCCTGCCCCGCTCACCACCCCGCTCCCCCCGCTTGTGCTCTCGATCCCGGTCCCGGTCCCGGTCCCGGCGCCGCTCCCGCTCGCTGCGGTGGCTCCGACGTCGATCCCGGTCGCGATCCCGACCCTTCTCCTCTGGACCATCAGGGCCGTCAGGGCCCAGCTCCCCAGGAGGCCCGTCGTCAGGAGGCGCGTCACCAGCCTCAGAGGGCTCCGCCATGTCGCCGCCACCGCCGCCGCCGCCACCACCACCACCACCGCCGCCGCCGCCACCTCGCAGCTCCTCCTTGCGCTCTCGCTCCCGCCGCGCCCGCTCCCGGCTCCTGCTGCTTCGCCGCTTGCGGTCCCGGTCCTTGTCCTTGCTCCTCTCCCTGGAGCGCCTCCGCTCCTCCTTGTCTCGACTCCTGGAGCGCCGCCGCCGGTCCCGAGAGCGGGAGCGTCGCCGTTCTCGCTCCTTGTCGCGCTCGCGGCTTCGTTCCCGGCGCTCCCGCTCGCGGTCCCGGTCCCGGTCCCTGTGGGGAAGCGGGGAGGGGCCCGGCCTGGATGAGGCGGGCAGAGGTGTGTGGCAGGGCTCCCCCACGAGACCGCCCCCCGTCCCAGGAAACCAGCTGCCCATCTTACCTCTCGTCATAGCGGGACGTGTCGTCCCGGCCCGAGTGCCGGATGTTCACGTCAGCCCCGCCCCTCCTGGTGCCTCCGAGGCCACCTCCTGCGGGAGACGGCGGGAGATGAGGGTGAGCGCGGGCAGGGCGCGGAAGGGGGGAGATGCGCGGCAAAGGGCACAGGCGAGGTCACCGCCGGCCTCTGCTGCAGTCTGTGGGGCGAGGCCGTGAGAGCACCCAAGGCCCTGCCCACACCACAACCAGGAGTGCGGCGGCGAGGTGGCCTCCCACAGGGTGAGAAACAGCTGCGGCCAGTCTCCAAAGCGCCTGGGCTCACCCCGAGGGGCACCACACTGCCGCCTCCAGACCTGCCCTTCCACCGGAGCCCCGGGGAGCCTGCTGAGTGCAGGCAGTCTCTCCCGCCCCTGCCCCGCCTCCAGACCAGGGCCCTGGCTCTCCCTGGCCCAGGCACTTTCTAATCTCACCCTCTCCTCTTCCGGCCAGTTACTGGGATCATCATCCTTTCCTTGGGATCTCGTCTTCTCGGCCTACTTAGCCCCACTGCCCCCCACAGCAGACAAGCGCGGTCCTCAGAAAGCCGGCTCTGACTTCCCACACGAAGCCACCCCTCCCCACCACACAGATTATAAACATTCCTTCCCTGAACTTCAAACACAATTTCCTACTTTCTGCGAGAAGGTCTCCCTCCAGGACACCACAATGCACCCACTGGAACACGCCACGTGTGTGCAGGGCACCCAGCACATGGTACAGCACCCAATATGTAAATGTGGGTGTGTCGGAGACAAATGACTGGACAACCCCGAGGAGCAGCCGGCACAGTCATGCTTCAGATGATGGAGCAAACTCCAAGTCACCTGCCCACAGTGACTCAGCAAGGAAGGTGCAGAGCTGGCTGCCGCCAGAACCTGCCCTCCCCTCAGAGCCCGGCTGCCTTAGCGCCTCGCCGGGAAGAAGCCTCAGTGAGGGAGGCTGGGCTGCACACAATGAGGCAGGAAAGTGAACGAAATGCCCAGATACCAGAGAGACATTCCCACAAGGCCAGGTGGCCTCCCAGTAACCTGGAGGCTCCAAGCCCTGGCCAAATGCCTCTCCCAACACGGTGACGGACGCCATCGCTAACTTGGTGACAATCAGTACATCACAACGCAACACAAGACATGACACTAGCACGCGCTGCCTGTAGGAAACATAATCACTCTGTCACAAAAACTTGTGTTTGGGGTACAGCAGTTCCCCTTATCTGTGGGGGACAAATTCCAAGACCACCCTGTGCATGCCTGAAACCAAGGCCAGCAGCAAGCCCTATACACGGTTTCCTCTGCAGGCAGCTGTAAGATTTAACTTATAAATTATGCGCAACGAGAGATGAACAGGAATGCAGTAATGCATGCCGGGACGACTTCTAACAGTAACTGTAGTGCAAGTCATGTGAAGTGCCTGTCTCTCAAAATACGGTACTGTACGCAGCATTCTGGACTGTATCTGAGAGCAAGTAACAGGAACCCCTGACTAAGCAGCAGGGGACCAGGTACACCTGCAGTATTTTTGCATATACGCTTGGCGTAAAGATCGATCTGGTCTCCACATCGGAAGTCTGAATGCCAAATGAAGCAGAAACCTCCGAGCTTCTGCAGGAAATAGTAGACTCTGAAGAGCCCACTTAACCCCAGAGAAACCAGAGAGCAAGAAAGTTATTATATCCAGAGACTTAGCAGGAGAGGATGCGGTCTACCCTGCAAAGACAAGAACGAGTTTGGCGTGCAGAGACACACGGGACTGAGAGCAGAGGGGACTTGTCCCTGCCTGGGTGTCTGCCCAGGGAAGACCACCTTGGCCGAGCCCCGTCGCTCACTCTGACAGGAGCGTCCTCCACAGGTATGTGTGGACAGCGAGGCAGGTCCAGGTCTAACACTGAGCCAATCAGCTTCCCCCAGCCCGAAACAGAGACACCTCTAAGAGAGGGTGCAAAGCAGGGAGCTGCGGCTTGGTGCACCAGGCTAGGCCAGGCCGACGGTGAGCAAGGCAGAAGCAAACTGCAGAGGTGCCAGAGATGCTCCTGACATCAAGATCCAGCAGCAGCTCTCGAGGCCCATTGGCATCACACGTCTCTGGGCTCCAAAAAATAAGGCCTTTGTGCTTTAAGCAGCTCAATGTAATTGATACTTAACAACCAAACCGACCCTTTTCTGAGATGCTGAAGAGAAAGCCGCGGGGGGCTGAATGGGAGGGCTGGGGGCAGAGGCTGTCTAGCTCTGGGCCACAGCAGGTGATCAAATAGACTGGCTGCTGCATCAGGCAGAGAATGACCAACCGAGCAAGCAAGAGCAAAGCGTAAGATGAGAAAATGACGTTCACAATCCCACTAGGTGCCCCCTGCCTAGTGGGCACCCGACAAGCTGAGCCCAGTGAACTCTGAGCTTGTTTCCACTTTACAGGATAAAAGAAAACAAAGCTAGCAGTTCCTAAGTATGCAAGCAGCCCTTGATATCAGACTGACCTCCCCAGGCCAGTGCTCCTGGCTAGTGACCGGCAACCCCAAACGGGCACAGATGCCAGGAAGCCAAGGGCAACAGTGCCGAAGGTCCTGGTGCCGAGGCGGCGCAGGAAAGAAAGGAGCGCCCTTATGGCTGGCGAGGGGGACAGGGCGAGGAGGCAGACAGCTGCAGAGGGTGGAGGACAGAGGGAAGCCACAGGCCCCCCAGCCCAGCGTGGGCAGAACGGGCTCACCTAGCCGCCGGGGCCTCCAGCCCTTCACAGTTCGGCCCCTCTCCACGTCCACAAGGACTCTTCTGCCATCAATCTTCTTGCCGTCTGCGTGTTTGTAAGCGGCTGCAACAGATGTGGGGAGGGGGGAGGGGAAGAGTCCCCAGAGGGTCCTCTAGTCAGGACAGGGCCCAGCTAGGCACGTCCCCACCCCCCACTCGTCCCCCATCAACACACTCGCACACGCACACATGCCCACCAGACAGCCAGGCAACTGACAGCCAGACCAACCCTCTCCCCGATCAGGGAGGGGCCTGCTCCATCTCAGCGCCTGCTCCCTATCACCCCCCCATCACTACTGGGGGGGCCAGCTGTCCACCCCAACACCCCCCACCCCCGAGCCCTCAGGCACATCCTCCACGCTGGATAGAGCAGCCCCCTCCTGCCAAGGCGGCCAAAGTTGCTGCAAAGAAACTGGAGGTTAACTTAAGGCTGGATTCTGCTGTGGGGGAGGGCTCCTCCACAACCCCAGGCATGCACCCTAAGACATCATGCTGAGGGAGGAGGCCCAACTGGGCCCCTCTGCACCCCAGTTCACACCGGTTTTCATTTTGTTTTGTTTTTGTTTTGGTGGGAGGAGGGTGAGAGTAGGGGCAACAGACATCAGAACAGAAAATGAACCAGAAGGGGGTGGGAGAAATCTTTAGGCGATGGCAGGGAGCAGAAGGGTGGGTTACGGTGCTCCCAGGGGCCCTGGAGGGGCCCCCTCCAGCAGATGGGGAGAAGGGGAGAGGCAAGGGAGACGTGCGGTGCTACTGCAAATCCCTGCCTTACCTGAGACGACTGACCGCCACCCCATCCCAGCTCCCCTTCCATCTCCCCCTCCAAACCCCAGCTCCATACAACGCCAGGAGGCTGCGCCCAGCTGGAGCCTCTGGGAGAGTGAGGAATAGAAGGGGAGATGTGGGGAGGGCACGTTCCTCTCTTGGGCAGAGCTCAGCGAAGGGCCGGCCCCGTCCCCCGCCTGTCTCATGTGGGGCTGTCGGGAAGGCCAAAAGGTCCCCGTTTCACCACCCCCAGCCCTGGTCTAGGGGGCTGTCCTCAGCCAACCACAATACCCTGCCCCGCCCCAGCCCGCTCCCCCCCAAATAACAACCAGAGGAAGAGAAAAAGGTGCCATTTACCGATGCCGGCCTTGCGGGTGTCCAAACCGAGCGGGATGGGGGGGGCTCGGCAACTCCTGGGGGCCTGGCGAGGAGGCGGGCTTCCCGGGGGGGGACACGGGACCGCTTACCTGAAGCCCCCAAGCTTACCTGAGCACGCGCACAGACCCCACACCCACCACCAGGGGGTCAGCTAAAGCTACAGGGAAGGGAACGGGGGTTCTAGGGCGCCACAGAGAGGGAAGGAACCACATCTCCTGCACCACCTGGAGACAGGCAGAGGAAGTGGTGGACCCCAAAGAAACCTCATGGAGGCCTTGAAAGATGGGAGACAAGGGTTAGCATCGTCTGGGAGCTGCAAAGCTCGGGGACAATCCTGACTGAATTTAAAAAGAAGGCTGGGGAGGCCTCAGGAAACCTGTCCGCCCTCACCTCTCCCACTGTGGTCAGATCCACGAGGCACAAGCCCACCCCCTCGGCACATGGAATGACTGCTGCACCTCAATCCACACACCCGCCCCCCGTCTGCTTCAGCCCGCAGGCACCACAGGGGACAGTCTGGGGGTCCAGGAGATGGAGTGCGGCCTGTGATCTGGTGAGGAGGGGCCGCGTGGCCCCTGAACCCAGAGGAGGGCAGTGGGGGGAGGAATTTAAGGGCTGGGAACACAGTCAAGCAAAGGAACCCTGCTCTGGCTCAGTGTCCCAAAACCCAGAAGAGGCCCAACCCGGGAGAAAACAGCAGAGAAAACATGTGATGTGTGTCATCCTAGGCTTCTCTCTCCCTCGCCTGCATGTCTAGACAGTGGGTCTTAAAACCTACCGCACCTTCAGCTGCGCGCGGCCTGCCTTCTGACCCCTCCCACACCCCAGCTCCCGAGTCCATGCACTCTGGAGAGCGGCAGGGCACCACAGCCCCTCAGCAGGCCTCAACCATGACAGGACAGAGCACTTCCAATCTAGCAATCAGAGTCGCGTCTCCAGGGTCACCCGAGTGGCAGCCCCGCAGAAGGCACAGGGGCAGGGGCACCAGGGTGGAGGGCTCTGCCTGGAGCCCTGGCCCGAGGGCGCCCGTCTGCAGTTTTCCTGCCACCCTGCCACTGACGTCATGAAGCCAGGTGAGTCGGGGGCTGGGCGGCCCAACTGGAGAGGCCAGCTGCCTTTCCCTTCAGGGTGCACCCGTCCCCTCCTGGGTTCAACAAGATTATCGGAGAGCGGATGGATTGGGGCACAGGACAAAGGGCACCCAAACAAGGAAAGGGCTCCGGGTGCGGGGAGGCTGAGGGGTGCGACTGGGGGCGGGAGAAGGGACACCTCGCTAATCCTGAGCTGCCTGGCTAAGCTGGGCTGGTGTGCGGTGCTGAGTGATCTTACCCATGATACAAACCCTTATACCAACCATACACTGAGGTGTTGTAAGGGGAGCGTAAGCATCAGCTGCAAGCCAGCTGCGTGGTGGCTGCAGTGACAATAAGAACAGTCAATTAATACGGCGGCCCCTGGACACGCCGCAGCCCTGCCCACCCCCACCCACCCATCCCTGCCCATGTGGACGCCGCCGCAGCCTCAAAGGGGGCTTGGAAGATGTGGGGGCAGGCGCTGAACACGCCTACCAGCCCACTGCCCGCTGAGGAACAGGGTGGGGGCTAGGGGTGGGGAGGCGGAGGGTCGGGTGGCCCAGCCCCAACTCTGCTGGGGGGAAGAGAGGGCAAGTTCAAAGACCAGGCCTAGTTCCAACCTGGCCGCCCCCAAACGCCAGTGGGGGAATTGGGGAGTAGCTCCCCCAAAATCCGACCCCTCCCCCCACCTCCAGCTGGCCCCAGCCCCCACCCAGTTCCTTTCTTGCCCCTGAGGTTCAACGTGTGACACTTACCTCCCCGGGTTCACACACACACACACACGTTGTGGGGGATTTTGGTTTTTGTTTTTTAAAAAACACGTATATAAAAAAAAAAAAGATATATCAGAAACAGAGGGAGAAGGAGAAGAGACATCGCTAATGTCAGGTCTGGCGGGTGGGGACAGACGACGGGAAGGGACGGGGCAGCAGAGAAGAGAGGGTCAGAGACCGGGCGCGGGGGAGGTACTCACAGTGCATGTCTCGCTCGTGTTCGTACTCGATGAAGGCGTAGCCGCGGGGCTTCCCCGACCGCTTACTGTAGACCATGTGGATCTGGGGGCGGGCAGGGCAGAGGTTAAGTGCTGATACGGGGAAGTGCCACCCCATCAACCACACAGCCCACGAACCAGGTGCTGGCCTGGCTGATGCCGGTGACAGATGCCTCAAACCCCGTCTCTCCTCCTAGAGCCGGGATAACCAGGAGCCCGTCCACTCCAAGGGTAGGAGGGTAACCAGAGGGGCTCCCTGGAGGACAGGAAGTGATACTTCAGCCAAGGCCTGAAGAACAGAGCGGGTTGAACAAGAGCACAAAGCGCCAGCTGGCCAGGTCTCGGAGAGGCGGGGCTCCGCAAGTACTAAGGCTTGGCTGGGGCACAGGAGCTAGAGGCCAGGGGTGCGGTTTGGTTTGGTCGGGATGGATTTTAATGAGGAGCCTTGGGAGACAAGGCCAAAGAGGAGGGCAGGAGCCAGGTCATGAAGCCAACGGGAGGCCAGGAGCATAACCTTTAAGGAACTGAGAAGGGTTCTGAGCAAGGAAGGGCCAGCATGGGGCTATGTGCAGTCAGACAGGATGCCAAGCTGTGGAGACGAGAGGGAGCTCTGAACACCAAAGGTCAGGGAGTGCAACGGTCAAGGGGAAAGAGCTATGCAAATTCAACATCTATCAAGTGCAAATTGGTCTGCAGGGCTCAAAACCATGGCAGCATTCCAGGGATGGAGGCTACCAAGGGGGTGGGATGGCATACAGGTAGAAAAGGGCACCGAGGTGGGCAAAGACCAAATGGTAAATGCCCCAAAATACCAGGCTACAGCAAGCACATCTGTCCTGCCTGCTAGGTAGGCCTAGGGGGGGCTATGAGCAGAGGAGAGGCCGGCTCAGAAAGCGTGCTCACTGACCACACGGCAGACTCTGCAGTAAGAACAATGGCGGAACAGAGCTGCTGGGACAGAGAAAGGCTCTGGGGAGGCAAAAGCCTTTGAGCTGGTGCCCAAAGGATGGTCTGTTGCCCACACACTCTACAACCACTCCAGAGTGACCACCCCGTGGCATGGCTGGGTGTGGCCAAGTCCACAGGGTCCAAAAGCCAACTGAGACTCCAAACTGTGACACAGTGGGATCACAGAACAAGAGAGTGAAGACGACATCGCTAGTCTGGACTGGGGGAGGCCAGCACGGCCCTTTCAATGTCTGTCCCTGGGTCAGCCATTTACCTGCACGGCAAACTCGAGCCTCAGTACTGCCGGAGCCCGCAAGGAACTTCGAAACTAAACGAGGAGGCCTCCCGAGGGGCGCAAGGGGTTAAGCACAGCAGCAGCCTCTGCAGCATTGAGTTTGATCCCCGGACAACCAGGGAGCCGCCCACATGGTGCAGCAGACATCTCGTCTCGCCTGCTGCTCCCCTCAGCAGTGTATTTCAGTCAGTCTGCCTGTTCTGTTCCCCACACTGTCTCTGGTGAATCCTCTCCCCCCCCCCGCACCTCTGGCCTGCACCCCAGTTCTTGTATGCATAGATAAACAAATCTTTAAAAATAAATAAGCTAACCGAGGAAACGCCAGCCGAGCATAAAGGCCTGCAGGGAAGCGGTGCCAGCACTCGTTCTCTGTGACGGCCAGAGAGCACTTCCAGCACTGACATCCGCCTTGAGCAAAGGTGACGGGATGTGTAAGGAAGCAGGCCTAGCTGTGGACCAGCAAAGCTTTATGTATAAATAGTACACTCGGCTGAGCCCTGCTCTAAAATCAACTAGAGACAGACTCCTTACGTTTACTTCTGCTACCTGAAACCTGCGGCATGAGGCGCAGTCAGCAAGTACACCCAGACCAGAGATGCTCAAGTCCTGAAATGATCCGTGTCCTCAGGGCTCGGCGCCAAGCCTCCCTGCTCCCTCCACATACCCCCAATTCAAATTCCCCGTCCCTCTCTACGCACTCTTTTGATGGGTCCGTACACCTCAAACTCTCTCCGGAGCTTGGATTCTGTTGTGTCGTAGTTCTGCAAGGAGACAGAGGCGAAGTTTAACGGGAGGAGTGAATTGTCCCAAAGCCCCCACAACACTCCCCAGGGCCCAGCCTATGATCCCAGCCCCAGACTCTCAGCCGTCCAGGATGCCAGGGGTTGGGAACTAGAAACTCACCACTCTAGCCACAAAGAGAGTCTTGAAGGCATCCCCTTGAGCATTGGGATCATTGTGAGGGTCCCCTGTGTAGGAAGAAGAGGATTTATAAGTAGAACATGCCAACGGTTCTATGGAACATGGCAGGCAGCGGCGCATTAGAGGAAATGGTTGGTGTCGGGACCTTCTCCCTTTACCTAATTTGATAGGAAAAGGATGAGATGGATTTCAAGCTAGACAGGATGAAGCAGGCCTCTACCATTCCAGAGCTACATTTCCTAAAGCCCTGGTCCCTCGGGTGTGAGTAACACACAGCCAGGCTGGCACCTCTGAAGACTCTGATCCCTTCAGGTCCTGACCTTTGTCAGCGGCAGAGCCACACTGCCACCCACTGGCCCAGTCTGTAACTACACTCCGCCGAGGAGAGTGATGAAGCAACCCTAAGGTCAGGGAGCTGCAGTGGAGAGTCCAAGCCTCCCATTCCCCCCAAAGCCGTGGCCTTGGGGAGGAAACTGCACTGGTGCTAAAGCTCACGGAAGACCAATCAGCACCTTGCTCCCAACCTTGCTAGGACAAGGGCACCGAGTAACAATCTCCCCAGGCAGGAGCCAGCACTGGTACAAAACCAGTACCACAGGTGATTCGGATGGTCAGGCCTGGGAAGATTTTTCCACCAAGTATGACAGCCTGTGCGCTCATGTTGGCCTGAGTCCTGCCAGGACCCGAGGAACTGCCCACTACAGCAGTGGTGTTTTTGATAAGTGTCCTTACTCGGAAGAGCTGACTACATTCTGAGAGAATCCCAAAGAAGGAGTAATGTTAGTAAGTGACTCAACATATATTATGATTGTAACACTGCGCTGGGCGCTGAGAATTCATCATCACGTCACACATGGAAACGAAAGCAAGCCCTGGGGCATGGAAAGACTTGTCAGAGCAGTAGTGTAGCGTCCAGGCTAGCCTCCCAGCCCAGGCATTCTCACCACCTGTAGCCACAGGGGCCACTTCCAGGAAGACAGTTTGGACGTTGTAAGAAGCCAGAAAGATAATGCTGCAGTAGTGAGTGAGGTTTGGCTATAAACATAAACTAAGTTCAAGACTGCTGATCACTGGCCCTGATCAGAAAATTTCTTTAAAAAAAAAAAAAAAAAAAAAAGGGCCTTCCCGGTGGCGCAGCGGTTGAGCGCTGGGCTGCGAAGCTGCCCGCAGCCTCTGCAGCGCCGGTTCGATCCCCAGCCACCGGCGAGGGTCCCACATGGCGCACAGACCTCTCCTGCGGCGCCCGCTACTCCCTTCAGCAGTGTGTTTCTTCATTGGTCTGCCTGTTTTGTTCCCCACTCTGGCTCTGGTGGATTCTCTCACCCTCCCGCGCTTCTGCCCAGTGCTTGTATAAATAAATAAATCTTTAAAAAGCAAAACAAAACAAAACAGGGGCCTCCCCTGGTGGCACAGGCGGTTAGGCTCAGCGCTGTGAGGCTGTCCGCAGCTTATGCTGCGCTGGTTCAATCCCGGCCGGCCAGCTGGCAGGCAAGGATCCCACATGACGCAGCAGACCTCACCTGTAGTGCCTGCTGCTCCCCTCAGCAGTGTATTTCGCCAGTCTGCCGGTTCTGTTCCCAACTCTGTCTCTGGTAAATCCTCTCACCCGCCCCGCTCATCTGGCCTGTACCCCAGTTCTTGTATAAATAAATCTTAAAAAAAAAAAAAGACAGGACCTCCCTGGTGGCACAAGGGGTTAAGACGCAACCCATGAAGCTAACACAGCCACTGCAGCACAAGTTCAATCCCTGGCCGGAAGCCCACATAGCACAGCAGACCTCTACTGTCTCACCCACTGCTCCCCTCAGCAGTGTATTTCAGTCAATCTGCCTGTTGTGTTCCCAACTCTGTGTCTGGTGAATTCTCTCATGCCCCGCACCTCTGGCCTGTACCCCCATTCTTATATGCATAAATCTTAAAAAAAAAAAAAAGATTGAGCCCACGTGAAAGGAAACAACTATCAGGCCACAAAGGGTTAAGCACAGCACTGTGAAGCTATCTGCAGCAGCCTCTGCAGCACAAGTTTGATCCCCAGTCGGCCAGGGAGATACCCACATGGCACAGCAGACCTCTCTTGTCTCGCCCACTGCTCCCTTCAGCAGTGTTTTCAGTTAATCTGCCTGTTCTGCTCCTCACTCTGTCTCTGGTGAATCCTCTCACCCTCCCGTAACTCTGACCTGTACCCCAGTTCTTGTATGCATAAATAAATCTTAAAAAAAAAAAAAAAAAAAAGGAAACAACTATCTGGAAACTGAGGCAAGCCTCTGGCGACAGCACCTCTGTATATTCTCTGTGTATAGCTCTCAACCTGCACTGGATTCTTCTTCTCATCCATACACTCAAGAAATACTTACTGAACACTCTACATACCTGCAAGTGAGGTAAGTGTTGGCAATTCAGCAGCACATAGAAAAAAATCCCCCTATTCTCTTGAACCTCACACACTAATGAAGGGCGGCCAACACTTCATGATAAAAAAGAATTTCACTGATTCTATCAGATGACAGAGATGGGAGGAGAGTTTAAATGGAAAGGCTGGGAAAAACCTGAGATGGTGACATTTGACAAAAGACCTAACGGTGTCAGGGCAACAGGAAATACACCTCCCAACACCAGCAGCAGGTTGTCCAATAGCTAAGGTGGGAAGCCTACTATGGGGCCAGTGAACAGGCCTGGTGCATGGACAAAGTACAGCAGGAGAGCGCTGAGCTCCGTGAAAGGTGGAAGAGAGTGCCAGCAGACCAGAAGCATGCGGGCACACTGCAACATTTTCTGTAGTTTTTGGACCCCCAGGAGTCCAGGAGCGTGATTGAAGGTAGAAACTAGTGCAGCTGAGTCAAAGGCACCCTCACGTCTGAAGAAAGAACAAGTCAGCTGACTGAGGGTGGCAGTGAACAGAAGCTACTCAGCACTTCGCCAGCCAACATGGCTACATACATACCCTGCCACTGTGCAGGCAGAAGATACTCGGATGAAGTGCTTCTCCAGACAGTGCAGAACAGGCTCAAAGGACTGGGGTGACAGAGAACCGGTGGGCTTTCAGATGGCAGAGAAAGTACCTTGGAATGCTCAACCTTTGCTAAGCATCCTAAGCGTAAACAAGCCTCCAGGTATGGTCTTAAAAATAATCCCTGGGCCTCCCCTGGTGGCGCAGTGGTTGAGTGGTGGGCTGCGAGGCTGCCCGCAGCCTCTGCAGCACCGTTTCGTTCCCCGGCCACCAGCAAGGGACACACACACACACACACACACACACACACACACACACAATCCCTGATGGTGGGCCTCCCTAGTGGCGCAAGGAGTTAAGTCTTGGCACTATGAAGCTATGCGCAGCCACTGCAGCATGAGTTCTATCCCCCGCCAAGGAGCTACCCACATGGCCCAGCAAAACTCTCCTGTCTCCCCGCTGCTCCCCTCAGCAGTGTATTTCAGTAGATCTGCCTGTTCTGCTCCCTGCTCTGTCTCTGGTGAATCCTCTCACCTCCACAGCTCTGGCCTGTACCCCAATTCTTGTATGCTTAAATAAATCTTTAAAAGGGGCCTCCCTGGTGGCACAAGGGGTTGAGATGCAACCCATGAAGCTGTCCAAAGCCTCTGCAGCACGAGTTCAATTCCCCAGCCGGCCAGGGAGTGACTCACATGGTGCAGCAGACCTCTTCTGCCTCGCCCGCTGTTCCCCTCAGCAGTGTATTTCAGTCAATTTGCCTGTTCTGTTCCCTGCTCTGTCTCTGGTGAATCCTCTTACACTCCTGCACACCTGGCCTGTACCCCAGCTCTTGTATGCATAGATGAATAAATCTTTAAAAAAAAAAAAACTTAAAAAAACAAAAACAAAACAGGATCCCATTTCTAAAGTGTGGAAAACAACTTTCACGGGAGAACTTATCCAAGGCCATTCAGAAAAGGGCCAGGCTTGGGGGTAAAACTCATCGGGTCAGACAACGGCTGTGTGGCCAGGCAGCAGAGCTGAAAGACGCTCCGGGTGAACTGCCTTGACTGCTGCCGACACCTGTGTGTGCCACGTCCTACGGGAGCCAGGGCCACAGTGGCAAGCATCCCATCCACACCCTGCCCTCTTATGGCAACTGCACCTACCACAGAGAGGTGGGTATGCATCAGTGACCCCCTGCAGACAGCGTGACAAACTGCAGCATACTCAGGGATCTCGGCGCTCAAGGGGGCTCACCCTGAGCATATCAGAGGGGCTGTTACACGTAAGCCAAAGTAATGTTTCCAGACTAGGGGGATCAGGACAAAAGCCCAAGGGCTGGAGACCACGGGCAAGGATGAGGCATGCTCTGGTGGGTGTGGTCAGAGCAGGAAGGAGCTCGAGGCAGGAGAGTCTGGAGTAGTGGTCAGGGAAGGGACTCTGGTCTTCCTTTCCTGAGAGCAAAGGAATATGCCAGCAGAGAAAGGCACAAGCAGACTACACTTTAAAAAGGCCCACAGGGGGCCTCCCTGGTGGCGCAGCGGTTGAGCGCTGGGTTGCGAAGCTGCCCGTGGCCTCTGCGGTGCTGGTTCGATCCCCAGCTGCTCCCCGGCCACCGAAGGAGGGTCCCACATGGCGTGCAGACCTCTCCTGCTGCCCGCTGCTCCCCTCAGCAGTGTACTTCGGTCCTTCTGCCCGCTCTGCTCCCTGCTCTGGCTCTGGTGAATTCTCTCACCCTCCCGCGCTTCTGACTGTACCCAGTGCTTGTATAAACAAAACAAACAAACAAATAAAACATGCCTCTAAAAAAAAAAAAAAAGGCCCACAGGACTTAGCGGGGACAGAAATACACAAGCTAGTTCGACAGCTGTGTGGTGTAAAGGCAAGAGGGGACCTGAGTGGTAGCGGACACACGGTCCGTCAGAAGAGTCAGGTCAGTGACATTTATAGATTAAGGGGGACAGTTTTAAACTGGGTGTTAACTGAGGTCATGGCCGGCAGAGATGAATGGCCTCATCCCAGTAAAGGACACATACAAAGGAGCCCAGGTTGAGGGGACAGGCAAACCCTAACTGGACGCTGCATCTGCAATGCCACTTGAGAGACATCTGAAAGGATGGGAAGGGAGCGCTCAACTAGATGCCCAGGGATTTGGGCGTCTGGCACATATGTAATCATCATGCCAGGACTAAGGTTCAGAGTACAGCAAGGTTCACACTACACTGTCCCGTGTAGAAGGAAAACCCAAGTCTCCACATAGAAAGCCCTCGCTGACAGAAATAGGCCTTTTGAGGTGGATCTGTGGCTGTCTTGTGATGTCTCTCCTGTCCCATATTCCAACTCCTCCCCCTCCGTGGAAGGGCTGGAATATCCCCAGCCCAAGGGCCAGGGAGAGAAAGCAGAACCAAGACAGTCTCACTGGCCCAGAACTCACCGCCTGTGAGACCTGCCAGGCAGTGGGAGCGCTGCCACGTGTTCGACCCTCTCCCTTCCCATCAGTCCTCACGCCACACTCTCTGACTTAAGTGCCTTAACCCAAGACAGTGCCTGGCAAACAGCAGGGGCTGAGAAGTGAACACTCCCGCTTCCCCAAAATAGGGTTTTGGGCTGATGTGGGAAAAAGGACACAGAGGGCTTGGAGAAGGAACGGGAAAGAGACTTACACATTTTAAGCTCTGTCTCCACTTCCTGCTGTCGCCGCTCAATCTTTTCCCGTCTCTGTGGTGAGAAAGGGGAGACGGACAATTGAATGCAGACGGAAGTACCCTGATGTCAGGGACCATCCTGCAGAAAGTAGCAAAAAAGACCTGGGGCTAAAAGGCAAAAATCACACACCTTCCTCTCCATGCGTTCCTCCCGGGTTTCTGCTCGAGTTGGGGGAGGGGCATCTCGAGGGTCCTGGGAACAAGAAGAGAGGTGACAGGGTAGGCAGAACTGGGGGAACTGCAAGGAACACCCATCAACTTAATAAGGATCTCAGTCACCCCCCCCCCCGCCCCCGAACAAATATGCAAACATGGACAGTTCCCAGCCAGTGGAAGCAGGGGAGTGGCACAGTCACAGTGTGGCCCACAGACGAATGCTACCCACCAACTGATCAGAGAAGCACAGAAACCACATGTATGCAGAAATTTCTACAGCAATCTGAGAGTAGTTTTATGCCCATTAAACAATAAAATTAAGTCCTTAGAATCTTATAAATACTACAAAATAATCGTCCTATTATTTTGTCCAAAGCATCAATCTACAACGGATTATAAATAAAACGATCTCTCCACCAGACAGGCACTGGGCTTAAAGCAAAAAAAGCAAATGTTACAGGGCTCAGAAGCAAAAGACTGGACATCCTGTGAGTACCTGGGCAGTCCTTGAAGTCTCACCAACTACTCATTAAACAATGACTGACATACACCCCATGCCTTCAAAGGGTGCCAGTGGCCTGCAGTCATTAGTTTAACTGGCTAATAACATTTCCCAAATACCAGTTCATGGAGGGTGGCAGATCCCACTAAACAGTCATTCTTCTGTTATCTCTCTACCATCTTCTGCCCTGCAACTTCTATCTCCAGCAGCCCTTTCCTCCTCTAACTTCTGGCTAGGTGCCAGCGTTTTTGTACCTAAGAAGTGCATGCTGTTATCCCAACTTTATAAATGGGGGAAAAAAACAAACAGAGGCACTGAAACCTAAACCATGTATTTGTTTACCCTGCAGGTGCAGACCTGAAACTCTCCAGTCCTACTCTTAGTTCTCCATCATTCAGTTCTAACCAATTACAAATATCACACTATTAATGAATACAGTGACATATGTTGACATTTGCTAACTGCTTGATGCTAAGCTCCATAACATAGAATTTGCAACTAATTCCCCATCTATATCATGAGAAAAACACAATTATCCCTTGCTAAGGATGCAGAAATCAACACACTAAGATACGCCCCTTGCCAAGGTCACAGAGCTGAGATAATGGTGTGCCAGGACTACCACCTTCTACAACCTCAAACAGCAACTATTACTGTAATTCCACAAACCCCCTATAAGGGCTCTTAGCCCCATTTACTACAGGGAAACTGAGGGTCAGAATGAGTTACTGTCCTCAATCATAAAGTTAGAAAACCCAACCCAAACCCCTCCAAGTTTGATCAGTGAACTCACCTCAAACTCCCGGATGTAGGGCGCAATGCCACAGTAAGGTTGATTGTGGTGTTTCTCATGTGGCAGTTTCTCCAGGGGTGGTAGGTATGGGATGGGGTCACGGGGGGCAAAGAGGGCCAGAAGGTTGGGTGGCAGAAACTGTGTCATCTTGTCAAGTCTGAGAGCAGAAACAAGGAAAGCCTTATGTTAAGGTGGGTCTGTAGAAATGACGCCCATAATATAATCCCTTGACTCCTCAGAAAAGAGGCCAATCGGGGGTAAAGTCTCAGTACCGAAGTAAGTTCTATGAGGAAAAGGAGTGATCCATGTGATCACTCGGTGGCACATAAGTAAATCTGAACGCAAAAGCAAGTTCTTGGGGGAGGGCTGTCTGAGCGCCGGGCTAGGCCAAGCAAGGGAAACAAAGCCTGAGAAAGATTTCTGAGTACTAAAGTCTGAGTCCCAAGCAAGGAGCTGAGAGTTCCGGCGTGGGGGGTGGGGGGATCCTGAAGAGGAAGACGCGGAGCAGCGGCGGCTGGTGGCTCTCTACCTCAGAAAACAGGTTACAGGGTGAGGGCGGCAAGAAGCCGCCGATCAATGGCAAAAGGGTCCTGTGCAGCAGCCCCTCCAGCCAGGGGCTTATGGGTAAAAGATCCAGGTCCCCCAAAGGCGAACGGAATTGTGGGTAAGGGTCCAGGCCGCCGCGGAGGTGAGGAAGAAAAAGGCAACACCGCAAAGGCCTGTGGGTAGGGGGGACCAAGTTGGGGGGAGGGCTATGAAAGAGGTCCTGAGTGCCTAGAAAACACTGGCTAAGGGGTGCCGAGAGGTGCCTTAGCGGGGCGCGGGCAAGGGGCCCGGCGCCGGGAAGAGACGAGGGCCCACCGCAGGGGATTGTGGGTAGCGGCCCCGCACCCGGTAAGGCCAGTCAGTCTCACTCACCTGCCGCGCGGCGCCCTCCTCGGCCTGGCGACGGTCAGGGGCCTCGCGGAGGCCCCTCAGCAGCAGGGACTCCTGCTTTGGCTTCGACTCCGGCGGCGTCCGCGTCCGGCTGACTCCGCCGCCCGCCCAGCGCGCGCACCAGGCCGCTGCTCACGAGCCCGCGCGGCCTCAGCTCGCGACACGGTCAAGGGGTGGATCCAGGCTCAAATCCCTCCGCCAGCCGCACTGCGCACGCGCCGCGCGAGAGTAGCCCCACCCACACACTGGGGCTCGGCGCCGCCGCAGGCACAGCGCACGCGCCAGTTCACTACCCCGCCTTCGGGCACCTAAACTCCTGGGCTGCCGCAGGCTGGAGTGCGCATTGCGCACGCGCCCTCCGCTCCGAACGTTGCCCCTCTACCTCGCGCTCACCGCTCCAACCGTCTCTCTCCGCGAGACTCTTCGTGACGCTCCGCCCCTTTACTAACGCACTTCCCGGATCTTGCGCGCATGCGTATTTTTCTGTACGCTTATACCCCTCCGCCAGCTGGCAAAGAGTCCCTACGTGAACAGTGTGATTACGTTGCTAACTAATCTATGGGATCAGTAACTGTTCATCGAGGTCTTTATACTGCTAGGAGGTGTTTGGTCTCGGTGGCTACAATATGTAACTAAAGCAAACTCTTTTCCTTCTTGGAGTTTCCATTGTACTGGGAGAGACAATAAAGGCGTTTAAATGAATAAATTTAATTTTAAACAGTAGACAGCACAACAAAGAAAAAACAGGACCGAATAAGGGAATGGGCAGTGAACGAGGCGCTTTGTTTAGAAAAGGGTGATGTTTGAAAGACGGCTCAATGAAAAGGTGATAAGAGCGGGGTCAACAGCAAGTGCAAAGGCCCTGAGGTGTAAAAAAAATGTCAGGAATCTCACCTTGTTAGTCAGGATATCAGATAAGAATTGTATTTTAAGTTTTTTTTTTAAAGATTTATTTATGCATACAAGAGGCGGTTACAGGCCAGAGATACAGGGGGTGAGAGGATTCACCAGAGACAGAGTGGGGAACAGAACAGGCAGACTGACTGAAATACACTGCTGAGGGGCGCAGCAGGGAAGCAGGAGAGGTCTGCTGCGCCATGTGGGTTGCTCTCTGGCCCACAAGGAATCAAACTCGTGCTGCAGCGGCTGCGAATTGCTTCATAGTGCTGCGCTTACCCGCTTGCGCCATCAGGGAGGCCCCTATTTTAAGTTTTTGGATGGATTCAATTGCCCATTAAATATTACAGAAATTATTGCAAAATTTAAATAACTAATTTCATGTTTTAAGAACATGGACTATAAACACACGTTTATGGGTTTTCAAAAAAGGTTTCTTTTTATTTATGCATAGAACTGGGATGTAGGCCAGAGGTTGGGGGTGTGTGTGTGTGAAAGGATTCACCAGAGACAGTGGGAGCAGAGTAGGCAGATATACGGAAATACACTGCTGAGGGGAGCAGTGGGCAAAACAGGAGAGGTCTGCTGCACCATATGGGTCAACTCCCTGGCTGGGCATCGAACTCATACCACAGTGGCTAGCAGTGGCTGACAATAGCTTAATAGTGAAGCCGGTGTGCACTGTTTATTTAGCCCTTGAACCATCACAGGTTCTTGTCCCACAAAGCCATAAAAAGGAATTCCCAGACATTTTACTTTTTATTTAAAGGATAATGGGTTTTTTAAAAAAGATTTATTTATTTTTATACAAGAACCGGGGTACAGGCCAGATGTGCAGGAGGGTGAGAGGATTCACCCGAGACAAAGCGGGGAACAGAACAGGCAGACCGACCGAAATACGCTGCTGAGGGGGGCAGCAGGCGAGACAGGAGAGGTCTGCCCTGCCATGTGTATATCTCCGCGGCCGGAGGGGATCAAACCAGCACTGCAGAAGCTGCTGACAGCTTCGCAGCGCTGCGCTCAACCACCTGTGCCACCAGGGAGGCCCCCCAGACATTTTAGAGAAGTAAGCTGAGAGAGACAAACTTTGTTTAAGAAAGTACAGTTTAGGGCCTCCCCTGGTGGCGCAGCGATTGAGCGCTGGGTTGCCAAGCTGCCCGCAGCCTCTGCAGAGCCATTTTGATCCCTGGCCACCGGTAAGGGTCCCACATGGCACGACAGACCTCTCCTGCCGCCCACTGCTCCCCTCAGCAGTGTATTTCATCAGTCTGCCTGTTCTGTTCCCCGCTCTGGCTCTGGTGAATTCTCTCACCCTCCCGCGCTTCTGACTGTACCCAGTGCTTGTTTAAATAAATAAATAAATCTTTGGGGGAAAAAAAAAAAAGAAGTACAGTTTATTAAAAAGAAGAAAGTAGGGCCTCCCCGGTGGCGCAGCGGTTGAGCGCTGGGTTGCGAAGCTGCCCGCGGCCTCTGCGCCGCCGGTTCGATCCCCGGCTGCTCCCCGGCCACCGGAGGAGGGTCCTGCATGGCGCGCAGACCTCTCTTGCCGCCCGCTGCTCCCCTCAGCAGTGTCCTTCGGTCCTTCTGCCTGCTCTGCTCCCCGCTCTGGCTCTGGTGAATTCTCTCACCCTCCCGCGCTTCTGACTGTACCCAGTGCTTGTATAAACAAAACAAACAAACAAATAAATAAAAACCATGCCTCTTTAAAAAAAAAAAAAAGGAAGAAAGTAAGAATTCCCAGATGTTCTGCACTTGTGAGGGGCAAGGAAGCCGTTGTGGGCCCATGTTTAGGGTATTTAAACCTTTTTTCTTCTCTATTCTAAAATCTCATCATCCTACTGTGTGACTGGCTCTTTCTCCTAGTGGCCATACTCCCCTGGGGCAGCTGTGTCCAGCTTCCCAGTTCTTATCATAGTCTTTCTTTCACTGCCCCTGTCCAAGGTTTCTTAAAATTTCCTGCCCTTATTAGCTCTCCTGGATTTCTCTGCCCTTATCTCAGAAGTCTCTTTACCTCTCCTGAAGTCCCTGACTGTGCTGTCCCTGAAGTTGCCTACTTACCCCTAACTTGCCCTGGGATTCAACAGTGCTGAGACTTTAATCCCTATGACATGAGGGAGGCCCTAAAAGCACGTTTTAAAAAATAATTTGCTTTATTTATTAATGTGTGTATATGGAAACTGCACTCTTTTTGCAACTTTTCTGTCATTCCAAAATTATTTCAAAAGAAAAATTTCAAGATTAACAAAACTAAACCTAGCCTTAGTACCTTTCTTTTTTGTATCATTTGGAGTTGCTACCATGTTTCACCTCTAAATGCTTCAGTGTGTATTGCCTAAGAATAAGGACATTCTCCTAGGAAACCAACCACAAAAATTATTCTCTAGCTTAAGAAAGTGTATGCAGCCCCTTTTGAGATTTTCCCAACTCACCCAAGAATATTTAATTTAATTTTTTAAAGATTTATTTTATTTGTGCATGCAAGAACTGGGGTGTAGGTCAGAGGTGTGGGGCTCAGGGGAGGTGGGAGGATTCAACAGAGACAGAGTGGGGAGCAGAACAGGCAGACGGACTGAAACACACTGCTGAGGGGAGCAGCAGGCAAGTCAGGAGAGGTCTGCTGGGCCATGTGGGTTGCTCTCTGCCCTGGGACTGGGGGGTGGGGTGGGGGATCCAACTCATGCTGCAGTGGCTGCAGATAGCTTCATAGGTTGTGTCTTAACCCCTTGCGCCACCAGGAGGCCCCAGAATATTTCATTTTAACCTGAGCCAGGAACCAGTCAGTTTTTCCCTGTCATGTTGTTAGTTCCTCCCAGGTTTCAGATCTGTTCCTAGTTTAATGTCCACATTCTGAATTTGTCTGATTGTTTGCTCATGGGGTTTAGTTTAATCCACCAGCCCTGGAAACTGAGTCTGAAAACCTGAGTAGATGGAGGTTAACCATTTTGGGCAAGAACCTTCCCTTGATGATACTGCTGACTACTGTAGTAACAACTCTGGAGGCCCCTTGTGGTAGATGACCCCACTATTCTGAGGCAGAGTTTGGTCACCTGGGCAAAGAATTAACTGCCTGATTTCTCCTTCTAAAGGTCCATCTTCCCATCCGTAATCCTGTGTGATTATTTTCTCAGGTCACAATTTTATTTTATTTTTTATTTTTCTATATTTAAAGGGGAGGTTTATTAGGGAAAGGGACAGAAGAGTAAATGACACTTGCATAGACACAAGCTGGCGCAAAGAGCTGCCCTGAAATGCACAGATTTGCTGAGAGAGGCCTGCATGGTTGCAGGCAGGCGGCCTTGGGGAGAGCAGCCTCCACTGAGGGAGATCAGTGAGGAGAAGCCCCGGCATGGAACAGGTCATGGGCAGGCAGGAGGCTGCTGCCCTGCAGAGGGAGAGAGTTGGTGAAAAGAGGAACCTGCATAGTCACAGGTGGGCAGAAAGACTGCTGCCAGATCACAATTTTAGCAGCCATCGCAGATCCTGATCCGCATTAAGTACAGCATGGGGGAGGGCACAGTGTGAAATGAGATAGAAGTAACTTGGGGCCTCCCTGGTGGTACAGAGATTAAATATAGCGCTATCTGGCCTCCCTGGTGGTGCAAGGGGTTAAGCACCGCATTATGAAACAGTTCTCAGCCTCTGCAGCATGGGTTTGATCCCCGGCCGGCCAGGGAGAAACCACATGGTGCAGCAGACCTCTCCTGTCTCGCCCGCTGTTCCCCTCAGCAGTGTGTTTCAGTAAATCTGCCTGTTCTGTTCCCCACTCGGTCTCTGGTGAATCCTCACACCCCCCCATCTCTGGCCTGTACCCCAGCTCTTGTATGCATGAATAAATAAATCTTTATAAATAAATAAATAAATAAATATAGCACTATCAAGCCATCTCCTGGGAGCAACCCACATGCATAAATAAATAAATTTTTAAAAAGAAAGTAACTTGGAGGGTTTTTTTTTTAATTTTTAAAAAAGATTTATTTATTTTTTTTATGCATACACGAACTGGGATACAGACCAGATGTGT